GGAAAGTAACTTGCTGTTAAGGCGAGCGTCTATTCAGAGGAGCGACTGCAGAAGTGGCATTGTGGGGTCCGTGTTTATGGTTTCTCAGCAACGCTGGTTGACATCTCCTGGGCTGCAGAATTAAAGGACTTTTTTTCGACTTGCTAGCTCTACAAACTCAGCTGGGGCTCCCCGCCACGCTGGGCTCCATCAGGCTCACGCATCATCAGAACTCAAGAATCAGTGCATGGAATTTAGTTAATAGCTAATAGTTGATGCATGAGACAGAAACGAGTCCAAGGCCTGAGGTTTTTTTCTCTGTGTGGGGTGCTCTGAGCTATTCAAGACTTATTTTAGATGTTGAAGCCTGCAGGTCTAGCCCTGCTTGAACCCCACAGCTGGGGTACCATTTCTACATGTAATGGTGTTGCAGGGAGTGACCGGTGGTTACCTGGGCACCCAAGCTTTCCTTTGGTTTCACTGGGAGCTTTGGGCGTGTGAAGAAGGTGGGAATGGCTCCTGCATGATTTTCTGGCAGATAATTTACACAGGCTACCTCTTGGCTGTGTTAACATGCATTTCCTTTCTGCAAAACCTGGCCTGCAGTAGTTGAAGCACCATCAGATTTATCTGCAGGAGCTTTTTGAATACAGTTTTGGGAGAGAATGTCATCAAGCTAACTTCTACAGTTTGGAAAAAAATAGAATGTATATCTAGGTTATTTTTGTGCATGGTTATCCGTAGGGCTTTAAATGGCTATAAAGTAAGGGCTATAGCCATTTAAAAGAAGTTACTAGGAAAGGACCACAGTGACCTTGGCAATATCTAATTGCATGCTAAACTTTCTGGGTGGGCATTCAACACTGGATACAAAAAAAGTAAAATCTTGGCAGGAGCTGCCAGGTCTCATTATTTTCAGTAGAGCTTGACATTTCCAGTGCTTTTTTTAAAAAAAAAAAAAGTCAACTACTTCAAAGCTGTGGGGGCGTGCAGAAGAAAAAGTTTAGGCCAAACCAATTTAGCAGTAATATGACTACAATCAAATAAGCAAAGTGAGTGTTTTTCAGGCTTGCTTATGACTTCTCTTCTCTTCTCCCCTCCCCATTGCCCCCCTGCAGGAATGGGAGCTGGTGGTGTTGGGGAAGTTGAAGTGGAACCTCGCAGCCGTCACCCCGCACGATTTCATTGAACACATCCTAAGGAAGCTGCCTCTACCTAAAGACAAGTTGCTTTTGATCCGGAAGCATGCACAAACGTTCATTGCCCTTTGTGCCACAGGTAGGCCGAGGGGCTCGGGCAGATGAGTCACTGGTGGTACAGAGGCTCATCATCCCCTCCTTCCTTACGTGATGTGGGAAGAGTGGCCGAAACTGGTGGGACTGTTGGCAAAGGGCATCTTGTACCTGGCCCCAAAACCTCCCAGGAACAGAATTCGTGCAGTCGGGCGCTGTGGTGCAGCTGCAGTCCTGCTCCTGCTAACACACACCATACTCTTGCAGTGAAGTCAGTAAGACTGGGTTAGACCATATGATCTGCTTTGCTTGTTCACTTTTTTCAAGGGTTACAGGTTGTTTGTAAGGACAGATGTGAGGCAGCCCATTACTAGAAGCTGTTACGGTGTGTTATGTTTAGCCAAAACATATGGGGCTGATGCATTAAATGAAGTTGTTTGTAGGTTTTTCATTAACTGGACGCTGTCCAGAGAGAAGATAAAAATTGTGTTTTAACATGTATGTGATACTGCCACATTATTGAGGTATCAGGAATGACAATTTAAAAAGTAATGACTTTTTTTTATCATTTGGATTTTTTCTCTAACTTCACTCCCAAGAAGGCAGTGAAACTAGTCTGTTTCATACACACCCCTTTTCTTGGACGTTTGGCTGAATACAGTGTCTGAAGATCTAGATGAGAATAATTGCTTCTGTGGAAGAGAGGCTTTTGATTTATACCTGTCTCTAAAACACTGGTTTTTTGTTTGTCCTTTCTTCCTCCCAGTGACTTTTAGAAAATATCTAATTTTCATCCAAACAATTAATGGTTAGAGCACTTCTTAGAAGTTAGACCTGGAGCAGATAAACAGCATGCAGCATTTTCCAGAGTTCTTACAAAGTAGTGTATGGCTCAGTGTTTGGATTCACTGCAGTCTGACATACTTAGTCCTTTGTGATGGGAACTGTTCTGCCTCTGCATTTGCAGAGGGGAATGGAAGATGTGGTGCAACTTTGGGGTATGAATGTTTGCTGCTATGCCTGCCTCTCGATATTTGAGGTGGAGGGACTGCTTTTACAATGAGGGCTAGTCTTTGCTACCTCAGCCAGTCTGTTTTAGAGAATCTCACATGGGCTGTGTTAAGGTAATTGACTTTTTGGTTACCAGGATGTACAACCTTTCCCTTCTTTTCCCACTGCTGCATGATCATTTTCAGGCATTAGACCACAGGACAGAATAGAAATATTGCTCAAGGTCTGCAGGTTGCTCTTGGTAAATCATCAGGCATTTCTCAGCTCATTAGCTTTTTGACTTTAGGATTAATATGTCACATCAACTTTGCCTTCTTTTTTTGCCTTCTCCCTTTACCCAGGATTTATTCACACTCAGTGCCCTTTTTCTTCTGAAAAAGATGGTCTTTCCCATGGCCATTTCTCTGGATCCTCACAATACCATTAGCCATCAACCTTCAATATACTTGGAAGTTGTCTTCCAAACCAGCCCCATCTTCTCTCTCCTTTGTTGCCTTTAACTCCTATAACAGTGTTTTGGTTTGTTTTAGCCAAGGTAAAGTGTCTTCGACTAGTGGCCTAGATTTCATTATGATTTAACTTTTCCCATTCTGGTCTGTAATCTTTTGCTCTTGAAGTTTTCCATATAACTAAACCATTGCAGGACTGTGCACCATGAAGGAGTTTCCAAAGGCTGTGGCTTCTTTCCACTCTGTCTCCATGAACTCTTTGATCATTAGGTCTATGTTCTACTAGTCCACTTATCAGATCCAGAAGAGCATCCCCTTCCAACCTGTAGCCTGGTCATACATGTCTCTCGTGCTTGCCCCACGTGATCAGCTTCTAGTGTTGCATGTCTCCAGTGCATGATCTGAAGCCCTTAACGTAGAGTCTAAAGAGGCAGCAAGTCAGTGTCTTTGCCTGCAGCTGAAAGACATTGTCGGCGCATGCAGCTTCCTGACAGACAGGACACCATGGTGCTGGCTGTAGATGTTCTTCTCATCCCATTTTCCAAATAGCACTGTGTTGGCGTTTAGCTTTGAGGAGGACCCACAACCCCCTGCACTTTCAGAAGCAGGGATCTTGCCTGAGCCCTCATTCCCAGTGTTTACCTTATTCCCAGTTCACTAGCAAGCTGCTACCCCCATTTGCCCTATAGAAACGTTGTTGCTGCTGTATTTCCCTTTCACTGCTGCTCTTCTCCAAGTCATTCTGGCCCTCCTTGACCAAGAAGAAAAGCCCCTTCTCCGCATACTTCCTTCCAGATCCAGTTGTCATTTCCTTTTCTTGCCCTGTTTGGTGCAGAGCTCTCATCAGCTGCTGAGTTTCTTCTTTCCCTTTCTCCCTCAAAGCTTCTGCTCTCCACAATCTCTGGTTAAGCCTGATGTTTCATTTCCCCATTTGCCTTCTTTCAGCAATATGACCTCCTTTGACATGTGGCTGCCTCTTCCCTTGCACCCTCCATGTGTGGTTTTTAGCCCAGTTTGGACTCTTTACTGTTACCAGACCTGACCTCACTGCTTCATTAGTGGCTCTGGTCTGGAGCACAGCAACGAATCTGTTTTTATTTCCTAATTCACCTCAGTGCAGCTTTTTCTTCTTCAGTGTATCGTGCTAAATCCGGCATATTTTGAACTTTTCTTTCCTCTAGCCTGAGTTCTTCTTCACCAGCTGCTCCGCTTTAATTTCCCAGCAAAAGCATTATACCAGAAATTCCCAAGTGTTCCCTGCCTTTACAGAGCTGGCTGTGATCTTGGTCTTGCAATACTTTGTGCCAGCAAACGGAGAGGAAAGCAACCATTAAGAGTTCTGGATGTTGTGCTGGATGTGTAGGATCATTCTGATAGTCACCGCTCTTTGTCCTTCCATTTGAACTTTATGCAAAAGCACGTGATACTTGGTTGTTTTGTATATTCCTCTCATTTGTGTTTTGTCATTTTGGCACTTCCTACATTTCTCTGTCTTTGTTTTGAGCCTAGTTTCTGAATCAAGCATTGTGGGTATAAATCCCCAGACTCTCCCCAGTGATCAGTGGTTCCCATGAGCATGACTGAAACCAGAATGTATCCCTTTTTTGCCCTTGGTCCCATCTGAACGTAAGCCTGCTAAGGAAGACAGAAGCTTATTCCTTGAATAAAAATTCTCTTCACTGTGCCCTGCACTCACAACACTTTCAGGAGCCTTCTGCACTGGAGGAGTCTGACAGGGCCCCTCTGGAGCCCACCCTGGCCGTGCAGACGGGGCGCTGTCGTGAAGCGAGCGCTTGGTGCGTGGTTGGGAATTGCTCCTGTGTTGGCCAGCTTGCTTCAGGCTGCCTCACTCCCTGTGCAGGAGGAGCAGGTAGATTGGCACATGTTGGCATAGTCTAGTCCTCCTTGATGTCATTCATTTTCTCATTTCACTGGTGGCTCCCTGTGCAAGCTCATGACTCCTTAAGGAGTCCTTCTGCTCTCTGGGATCATATTGCTTTGCCACGTTGACCCAAGCTCCATCTGTTCATTGCTTTGCACCCTTCATTCCTCCCCTGTCTTTTCGCACAGTGCTCCACAGCTTGGAAGTGTTTTCTCAGTTCTTGCCCATTTGCCTGTACGTGCTGTGCTCCAAGCCAGGGAATGATTCCTGGGGGAATGGGAGAGGGCACCAGTGGCAGAGCTGTGTGCAGAGCGTGCCACGCGGCCGGTGGAAGGAGAACCGTGCGCTGTTCCCTTGACTTTCCTCTGCCAGGCTGTTCAGGGTCACAGCTGCCCAGCTGCTCCCTTGTGTTACACCTTCTCGCTGGAGGCCATATGTGCCACTGCTTGGGCACAGGGCATCCCTCTTTATCTGAGTGCCTATAAGGGAATGGGCTTTGGGGCTGGACAGGCTGTGCAAGTCAGGCTTTCAGAAAGAGGAGCTGTGAGCCTCTGAACACAAGCTGTAATGGAGAGAATCATCTCAGTGAGGAGGTTTTCAGTGTTCTATTTAAGTGGCATGCAAAACTTGGAAGAAGAAAGCTTTGCAGACTTGCAGAGACAGACGGCAGCTTGTGTAGATCCCTAGACTCAGCACTTTGCATGGTCTCGTTGGTGCTTCAGCCGAGTCCTGTGGCAGGTGAGATGTTCCCATGGTGGGTACAATGCAGCATCTCATAGACCAGTGGCTTTCAAAGGCTGTGTCTGCTAAGAAAGGGGAGGAAAATTTCAGCTTTAAGTCAGTTTTGTACAGTGTGCCAAACCTCTGCCCACTGTTTCTGGGGCATTAATCATCTCCATTTGAAAGCTGAGAAGGCTTTTTTTTTTTTTTTTAATTTCTGGGCCAAATCCTGGGTCCTTACTCAGACAGAAGTCCTGTGGAAGTCAATGGCAGTGTTGTCTGAGCAAAGACTGCAACATGAGGCCCACAACCCTGGTAGTGATCTGGAGGGTAACCACACAGAATGCCTTGTAGCACCAAGAGGCATGTTTGGTCCCCAGGACTCCTGCTGGGCAAGTCTCCTGTGCACCCTTCCCTGCTCAGCCAACACAAAAGAGTTGCCGAGTTCTGTCCCTGCAGAGGATACGAGTGTGATCCAAGCTTTAGTCAGGACCTGTCCTTTGCAGAGGGAGAGAAGCCAGTCCACAGCAGCTTTGTTGTGTGGATTAATCTCTCAGAAATAAAATATGTGTTGCAAAGTGGTAGTGGTTGCATGAGTACTTCTTGCACGAGAGAAGAAAGAATAACCCATGTGAATTTATTGCCATACACAAAAAGGCTCTTGCTTGTTACTGAGAGAGAGACAGCTCATATATTGAGCTTTCCAGCAAAACGGAGCCACTAGACCCATGAAAGCTCCATCTAAAGTAAGCAGGGGCCGGGGAGTGTTTTGTACGAGTAGACTCACTCTGAAGTGGTAGGATGCATCTAATCTGGGAAGATGAGGTGGAAGGAAATGAAGGAAGAGAGCCTTTGCTAACAGAAGCTGGCGTCATTCCAGCACTGCCAGATAAGTTGCCCTCCTTCCTACCAGCTGCAGATCTGACCTTTGGTGGTTCAAGCACTAACAGAATAGGCTTCTGCAGTGAAGATGTAGAAGTGCAA